GTTTGTGGGCATGATCAGTCTTAGCATGATTTGATGTTGGATTTAGTATCACATTTTATGGACAAGTAAAAATCAGGACTAGTTTGGATTCACAATCGCCTGTAAAATCACGTATGACATCCGTGCTAATCATGAGTTCAAGTTAAGGAGGTTGCTCAAATACTCTCGCATGAAGTAGTCTGTACTAGCAGTTTAAATTTTGCAAGTGATAAGCCTGAACGCTGATTTATTAATATGAGTGGAGTCAATTCAAACATAATTAGTCTATCTTGTGTAGTATTATTGTCGTTTTCAGTTTGTTCTTCACCTAGTGTTATCTAATAATCCACTAGCAGTTAAATGAGTGAAATAATATGAGTATTAAATTGGAAGTTGAATGATCAGTGCTTCGTTAACCTGAGGGGCATTTTGAACAACTTGAATAAGTTTCAGTAATTATCTAATACAACTGAATTGGAATTTGGCCTGGCTTAACCGTTTGGGCTCAATAGCCCATTATCAAGAAGAGTAAGTCTCAGGGCCTCAATGAACGGCCCAGGCTCAGTTGGATGCTTGTGTACATTTGGGCCTGGGCCCAGGTCTGCTTGGTCGGTTTATGGTGTGCACATGATTTTAACTTTTCTTTTGTTGGGCTTGTCTTGGAGCCCAGTGGCTGCAATAAAGTACAAAGTCACCATTAGGTCCAATAATAAATAGTTAGGGTTTTACTAGAGACGAATAAATATAGAAAATTATAGATTGCTTTAGGATTTGCCCTTTAAAATAAATTGCAATGAGATGAGCCTCGCCAAATAGAGCAAAAAAATTACGGGGCCCTCGATAAATGTACATACAAAAAAAAAACCTAGACTTCGGGACGGGCCGTTTAGCGAATTTCACGGCCTTCCCCAAAGATAATAACACGATAGTCCCTTTAGGCGCGTTCTTAATAATCTTACCTTCTTAAATACGGGTGCACATTTATGTGACCCAAATCTAAATCTCAACGGAGTCGAAATGCGTCAAAAGCCACGGGTGCACTGGTGTAACGTGGTTCGAGATACATTTTCACGACGTTGCAATTCTTATTAAAAGACATAAAGCAAAAGTGGTTAAAACAAAAGGCACATAGGTTAGAATATGTACTAAAATCAAATAAATAAGCCAAATATGACAGTTGAGCGACCGTGCTAGAACCACGGAACCCGGGAATGCCTAACACCTTCTCCTGGGTTAACAGAATTCCTTACCCGGATTTCTGGTTCGCGGACTGTTAACAGAGTCATAATTTCCTCGGTTCGGGATTCTAAACCGGTGACTTGGGACACCATTAATCTCCCAAGTGGCGACTCTGAATCTTAATAATAAATCCCATTCTGATTGTCCTTGGAGTGGAAAAACTCCTTTATGCCCTTGCGGGGTGTAGGTGAAAAGGAGGTCTGACACTTCCTATGGAGCGTACGGAACATAACTGAGCTCTTTATCTCACGGTGAAATGCGAAGATTCTGTTGTCTCAAGTGTTCTGGTTGACAACGACTCTAGTGCAAATATTTACTCTCTGTCTACCTTGCAAAAGTTGAAGATCGGCATCGAAAGAATCCATATAAACAGTGTATGTGTTCGAGGCTTTGATGGGGGAAGTAAAGATTCTGTTGATGATATAATGCTCGAATTGTCGATAGGGTCAGTTGAGTTCACTATGGACTTCCAAGTGTTAGATGTGGCTATCTCCTACAATCTGTTGTTGGGCAGGACCTAGATACATGTTGTTAAGGCAATCCCGTCTTCTCTACATCAAATGGTAAAGTTCGAATAGGACATGCAGGAGATAGTTGTGCACGGTGATGAGGACACGTCTGCTTATAATGACATATCTGTTCCATTTATTGAAGCTGAAGATGAGAAAGGGCCTTGGGTTTACCAAGCTTTTGAAACAGTGTCTGTTGAGAAGATTCCAGAGGGAGAACGCATTCCAGGTCCGAAGCTATCCTCCGCGTCTGTCATGGTAGCAAATAAAATATTGAAGAATGGTTTTGTGCCGGGTAAAGGTCTGGGTTCATCTCTATAGGGTATTGTGCATTCAGTGCGCCCACGTGAAAATCTTGGTACATTTGGTTTGGGGTTCACGCCCACATAGAAGGATGTGAAAAGGGCTAAAAATCTGAAACAGAAGGTATGGTCACTCCCCAAGCCTGTTCCACACATCTCTAAGTCTTTTCTCAAGCCAGGGGCCGCAAAACCTCCAATATCATCAGTCCCAAAAAACCTGTGATCGATGTTGATGAAGAGCTGATCAAGAGTTTCCAGAGTCTGTTCGATGAGATTAATATAGTAGAAATTAGTGAAGGTTCTAATAAAGCAGATGTGCAGCTCGTTGGGCCAAATGTGAAGCTTAGCAATTGGGAAGCTACTCTTTTTCCCACCATGAAGGAATTTTGGTAGTTTGATTTGTTTTCCTTTCTATTGTAAGCACGTGATTTTTGCCCTATATAAAATACTCCTATAAAATCTAAGAAGATAGATTTTGTTTATAATTATTTGCCATTTTAGGAATTTTTATAGATTTTATTAATTGTTTGCATTTTTCTTGCATGTTTAATTTTATTTAAATCATGAAAAATACCCAAAAATATCATGCATTGCATTTAGGATTCGTTTTTGCATTTTTAGAATTAACCAGTTATTATTTGTTTTATAAAAATTGAAAATCACAAAAAAATGCTTCATTTTTACTCTTTTTCCTTTTATTGATTTTTTCTCTTTTAATTTAGGATTAAATAGCTTTTATAATTTTTATAATTAGCTAATTAGTTTAATTTCACACTTTTGGATGATTTCGAATTTTTAATTTGTAGGATTTTAATTAAAGAAAAAGGAAAAATTAGAAAATAAAAGAAAGAATTGGAAAAGAAATGTTTGTCCTGCGAAATTGGGCCAAAATTAATTCTGAGCCCAAAGCCTATACCCAAATCTGCCCAAACCCAATAACCCATTCAAAGTCCAATCTCCCTACCCAAATACCCATTACCCTTTACCCTAATCCCTCACATAAAAGGGGAGCTAAGGCACAAAAAATGGGAGAGATTTTAGAAAAACACATATCCCTCACTCCTAGACCTAGAAAAAGATAATTAGAGATCCCTTCTCAAAAAGGAGGGAGCAGCGGCGCTGGAGAGAAAAAGAAAAGGGAGCTCCTCATCTCACCATCTTAACACACAAACCTTGACCCCTTAAGACACAGTAACGGCACCCCTCTCCAAGGAGGTCTTCTATACTATTTTTCTGGATTTCGAAAATTGGATTTGAAATAAAATTTAAAATGGTATTGATTACTGGAGTTTCAAAACTTCAATTTCCTCTTTTCTGGACTTGAACGAAGCTGTCAAAGCGCAAATGGGTGGCTGTTTATCGTTGATGTTGCTGGATTCCAAAAGGCTATTTAATTCTTTGTCTTTCTGCATTTAGGTAAGTTCTACACTTTGTAATTATACCAGCTTGATTCAATGAACGAAAATCTGGTGTTTTGACTTCTCAATCATGTATTTGGTTTGCTTGTTTGTTACTGATGCCACGATCTCTCTTAGGTGTATTTGATGTTGCATTATTAATATGTGTTGAACATTTTACTTAGCTCGTTTTGTATTTGAATGAATTTAACGTCGGCTTATGTGCAGTAGCTCGAAATATAATTCTCATATGGATCAATTCGATATCTATGGTCAATTAAGCGCATATCATTAGTTGTTAAACCATTTGTTAATCTTGAATGAAGTTGAAGTTTTGTTTAAATTTTTGTAGATTTAGCTATAATTCAAACAGAAGGTTATCATAGTACTCTATGTATGGAGTTAGTAAATTGGGGGTGCCAAAAAGCTGTCATTACTGAGTACATGGCTATCGTTTGCATATCTGGCCACTAGTTGGTTATATCTGTAAAATCCAAAACTAAGGATTGGAATTGAAGTCGTTGGTGTAAAGAAGTTTAAGCTGAAGATTAGTTGTGCCCTGTTTAGGATAGCTATTATCGCTTTCTGCATATATTAGAACGTACTATGTCCATTATCATCTTTGAGAATTGTAATTGAGGTGACCAGAACTATAACTTGCATTTATATTCGCTGTATTTAATTCTTGTTCTATATAAAAGACTGGACCTGCTTAGGCATACTGATCTATTCCTAAAAGTGGTCATTCGCTTGGTCAATGATACAGTTGCATTTGCAGTGTTTCAATGCCATCAATTGGTAATTTTGCTTATTCTCTTTGTTTGGTGGTTTTCAAATACTGATACTTACTAAGTGCTTCTCCATTCAATGGCAAAGTTTAGTGGTTGGTACACTTTTTGTGATTTTAGATCGATGTAGTGATATTAGTTCCACTTTGATGAAATACATGTCCTAGTTTCCTTTACCTCCTTGGTCACGAAGAGCAGCATCTACCTTTGATTAATAAATTATTGTGACTACGGGTACGGTTCCCGTAGCATAGTTGTGATACCTAATTTCAAATTAGTTTTAAAATATGAACACCCGTAGTTCGCTTTAAATTGAGTACAAACCCTTTGAAATAAATTGAGGCGTGTCATGCCAAATAAAATCTCAAACTCATGGCCCTCACCTAATTAATTTTAACTCATAGAACTCGGGGCGTGCCATTTAGCGAATTTTCATGGCCCTCGCAAAGTTAACAAGATGCTAGCCACTTTAGGCGCGCTTTTTAATAATTTTACCTTCTTAACTACGGGTGTGCATTTCATGCGACCCAAATCCAAATCCCAAAACGTTGAATAAGAGGTGTCAAGGATCTGGGTGCATTTCATGTGACGTGATCCAAAAACACGCTCTTAAACGACGTTCACTTTCATAAAAACTAATTAAAAGCGGTTAAACAATTCTAAAATTGCAATAGGATAACATGTATTAAAATCAGACATTAGCAAAATATAGCAGTTGAGCGACCGTGCTAGAACCACGGAACTCGGGAGTGCCTAACCCCTTCTCCCGGGTTAACAGAATTCCTTACCCGGATTTCTGGTTCGCGACTGTTAAACAGAGTCAAACCCTTTCCTCGATTCGGGATTCAAACCGGTGACTTGGGACACCATAAATCTCCCAAGTGGCGACTCTGAATCTCTTAATAAAATGAATCTCGTTTCGATTGTCCTTTAAATGAAAAAATTCCTTTTATTATACCCTTCACGGGGCGTAGTAGCGAAAAAGGAAAAGAAGAAAAAGAAAAAGAAGAAAAGAAAATGAAGAAAAGCAAAAAGAAATGAAAAGAAGAATGAAAAGGAAAAGGAAAGAAAAATGAAAAGGAAGAAAAGAAGGTGGGAGAAAAGGAAAGATTGCAACAGCAAAGTAATTCCTATGACCTGAACTACGTTTGACTTGATCCCGAAAGGGTACGTAGGCAGCCTCTCCTTGGGGTTTAGTCACATCAAAACAAAATCCCAAAAGTCCTCACAAAAGGAACTGGGGCAGCAGTTATGGTTGTGCAAGAAAGTTGATTCCGAAAGTTTGTAGTTGCGAATCCATATTGAATTGTTTTAGAGCCTTTTATACCCTTTCTTTCTAACCTTATCCAAAAGCCTGCATTACGGTTCAAAGAAAGACCTTTCGATCAATCTTCAGGAAGTGCCAATACGAGCAAGTCGAAGTGATTCACATCAGGGGCAGCACTCCAGTGCAAGGAAAAATAAAAAATGAGAGAGTCTTATCGGTGAAAACCCTCACGGGCACCGTAAGGCGAGGTGAGTTGAGAGAAATCAAAATGAGAGAGTCTTAGCGGTGAAAACCCTCACGGGCACCGTAAGGCGAAGTGAGTTGAGAAAAATCAAAATGAGAGAGTCTTATTGGTGAAAACCCTCACGGGCACCGTAAGGCGAAGGTGAGTTTTCAGGCAAAAGAGACATGTCCGTGGTCAAAGATGCTCAGGACACTGCAAGATGAGCAAGGTTTGGGTTTGGGTAAAAAATCAGATTACGAAAGTCCGGAGTAGCAAATGTGGCAATCGAAAATTGGTTGGTTGGACAGACTGGGCCGGTTAATCCAAAATGCATGGCATGATCAATGGTACCAGCTGTTCCACTCAGATAAGTCCTCTTCTCTTCCCCTCCTTCCTTATAAATCATCCATTTTCGGATTCTCTTTATCTTTAACCTTTGAGGTCATTGCATTTCATTCTTTTGAGGTCTATCTCTAGGATGTTTCAGTGTCAGTTCTGTTCGAAACAAAGGAGGGAATATCAAGCTAACTACCAGCTTCCTAGTTGCACAGATAAGGGCCAGAGTATATCAAAGATGGCCAAAAGCAAGGGAATTCATAAAGGACCACTGGAAGTTTCATTGTTGGATTAGTTGGATAATTGTGGGGAAGAAGTGAAATACCAAATGAGAGGCCGGAAACACAAAAACAACAATATGGGATAGAACACTTGGGTCATCAGAGTCAAGGGGTTGAAATTCGGTCAGGAATTCAAGAGGGGTTCAAAGCAAGGCCAGGAAAGCGGGGCGGAGTGGAGCCCAGCAGCAGGGATGTACCCAGCAAGAATGCCAGCAAACCAACCACCATGTTTTTTAAAATTGACAAGATTTTTCTTTGATTGAAACAGGGGCAGGAAATTTCGTTTGTTTCGGAGGAACTCTCCGTAGGGGAAAGAGCAAGCACCAAAACAGGTTTGACCGTAAATTCTCAGGACCCTCCTGGAAAACGGGACTTAGTTTACCCCAAGGAACATAAGTTGGTTTCAAAGTTGCCTGTT